ACCCCCTTGTGTCTTTTTTCTCTTCTTGGCTCTTCTTTCATTTTATGTCCATGCTGAGCTACTGTTCTTTCATTATGAGGGAGCTGCATCTTTTTCCCATTGTCCAAACACACACACACACACACACACACACACACACACACAAACACTTACGCACTAAAGCTCCAGGGGAGGTCATTAGCTTGGGGCTGCAGTTGTCAGAGCAACAAGCTTCTGTGTGCGGGGGGTACAGGGGATACAGACTAACAACCTACCTCCTGCTGCTGGAAGTATGGGTGTGTGTGTGCTTGTAGTGTGACAGTAATACTCCAATTATATGTGGAATGGGAAGCCTGTTTTCTGTTAGCACTTTGTGTCGGTATACATGCATCCTCTCTCTGTATCCTCAACTGTTGTTTACCTGCTCTCAATTATATATCAGCCAGACTGTGCATTATAGAAATTCTCCAACGTTGGAACTGAGAAGAAGTTTGCTATGAATGATTTTATCTTCATTTTACTTCCTTCAAATGTCCTTGAGGCACTATCTGTAAAAGTCCGTCTCTTGGGGACTGCAGCCTCATTTGTTTGATCCTTGTTAGTTTTGTCAGTCAGCTTAGTTAGATTAGCTCAGCTGACCTGATAGTAGTAAGTCAGACTATTCTCAGACGGCCTAATCAGTTAGCCTTCATACAAGGCTAATTGTGGGCTTACAAATCAGGCTTCTGAGAATGGAAGTGCTGGTATAGTCTTCCTGAAATAGGCCGGTATTTTGAGATTTCTAGACATGGTTGAAGTTGTGAACCAGTAGTTGAGATTGAGTTACAGTTTGCAGAAGTCAGCAACCTGTGAGCTGGTCAGGGTGCAGGTTTTTATAGGGCTGAAAATGAGTTGATGTATTGTACTAAGGGTGAAGTAACGGGTACATCAGTTGCACATATGTGGAAATAGTACTGGCTGAAAATAATGGCATTACACATCACATAAACACTGCACAGAAGTCAAAGCGGTTAAATAAACATCAGAGAATGTGAAAACACTGTAAAACATTATGTGTTTTACATTATGCAGCTATAGTCCCAGTGTATTCGCATGTGTAAATAAGAATGATCAAATCTTTATTAGACACGTTGTATTGCATGTCTTGTAGAGTCACACACACACACATACAGTACTACAAACTGCTCTGAAGGCCTATAACTGCTTTTGATTCCATATTCTCTTTGATCCTTGTAGAGTCAATTATTTATAGTGTTGAGTTTGTTCAGCGTGAAGCAATCCCATCTTTACTTACCTCTATTTGTTAGTTCTATCTTTACTTACATTTGAATAGCATATTTACTTATTCACCTTTTTAGTAGCGTCATGTGAATAATTTGAATCCTTCCATGTATTTTCTTTTTTTAGTCTCAGTTGTACTCCCAAGGTTTTTTATAAGTGAAGCAGTTACTTATTTAGTTTAGAGCTGCTTTTGAATCGACTTGAACTTAAATTAGCTTATCCAGGTATCCAAGTACATAATTGGCTGAGCTGTAGCAGGGTCAGTTGATTGAGCGATTGTGTCATTCTATGTTTGTGAGAACCAATTAAGGATCACATCCCTCGGATTAAGACTTGATTTTAATGTTATAATTGGGTTTATTTGGCTTTCGGCATGAAACTGTTGCTTCCTGTGATCCAGACTATAACATTTTGTTCTGACATTCATTGTCTCCAGAGGAGCTGTCCCCCGGACCTTTACTTCAGTGAGGTTGACATTTGTAGTTTGGAGTAACATATCTTGACAGCTTTTGTATGGATTGTTATGAAATATGGGGCAGACATACACACTGAATTGTCCAGTTGATCCTTTGACTTCTCATCTGGCATCATCCTCAAATACCTATATTACCATTATCTTCTTTTGTAGTCTTAAGTGTTAAGTAGCCCAAAGCAATTTATGGTTTACTAATATTTAGCTCAAACATGACTGTGCCATAGCAATGTATGTCTAGTTAGGCTTGTGCAAATGAAGAAAAGGTGGTGTGTTGTAACTGTAAATACGGGACTAATTGTATGCAGTAATTTTTACAGCAGGTGATGTAAGAGCTTGTTCACTTAAATTCCCAGAAAGTTGCTCTGTGCTGTGACATAGCACATGTCTTGATGACTGTGTTTTGGTCTTGTTCACTTTGTGGCATTAGTTTTTATCCCATAATAATACAAATCATCTTTTTCTAGGTTTTCCCTTAAGAACAGTATATATGTCTTTGACAATTCTGCGTGTATCTATTTATGGGTCATGTGTGCATCTGATGAGCTACGTTTCATGGCTCCTCCAGTTCCCTCTTCACCCTGGCCTCCTTTGTATCAATTTGATTGGATGCTATGTAATATGAGGTCCCTTATCTGATTTAATGCCACTGTGGGGCTATCTGGTTTCAGCCAATTGTAGCCACCTCCGGGGGTTTGGGGGGCAGGCGGATGTGTTGGCATGGATACTGGGTGAGACTAAATGAAGTTAGTAGCTAAAGAGATTATGCTGAAGTGCTGATGGGAAGAGGGACAAGAGCCCAGAGAGAGCAAAAAGAAATACAACAGGCAATAGAGAAATTTGAGCTCACACTGATGATGAGAGGGAAATCTCATCTTACTGTGTGTGTCTGTTTGTGATGCTGATAAATGCTACACACTGCTCTGTAAAGACAAGTGGATGTGTCTTTAATTTGTACACTGGTAGGTTTGTGTGTTTACTGTGGAGATAGCATTTTTCGTGTGTGTGTGTGTGTGTGTGTGTGTGTGTGTGTGTGTGTGTGTGTGTGTGTGTGTGTGTGCTTGTATGACTTTATTGGTGTTACTCCACAGCTGTCTTTTCTAAATGAATGTAATTATGTTATTAAAAATTAAGTCGCTTTCTGTCTCTGTGTGTCTGTTCCTTCACCAGACTGAGATTGCCAAGAGACTAAACACCATCTGTGCACAAGTCATTCCCTTCCTCTCGCAGGAGGTAAGTACGTGTGACTTTGAGCTACAGACTGTTTTTATGCAGACACTCTCTGCTAGCTTCACTGATAATAAGACCCATTACTCACAGTTCTCATCCTTGTTTTGTGTATGTGTGTGTGTTTTGCAGCATCAGCAGCAGGTCGTCCAAGCTGTAGAGCGCGCAAAACAGGTGACTATGGCAGAGCTCAATGCTGTCATCGGGGTACGTGGACTGCCAGGTCTTCCACCTACAGTGTGTATACCTCTATTTCATTTTACTTATATTGACTATGTCTCTGTTTATTTGATAAGAAATATATTTCTTTCATTTATGACGTAAAAGAGGCATTCAACGGGTTTGGGTCACACAAAAGTTTCAGGTCTGGTTTTGGTCACATTGCCTGGGTTATCTATTTGGGGGTTTTTTTTCACTGTAAATGGCAATAATAAAGAAAATGATCAGGCTTGAGTCAGGTTTAGACAAATAAAACAGAATGCATGTCGGGTTCAGGTTGGGCTTGGTTTATTTTTCTCTCTGGCTTGGTTGTGTTTGGACAGATAGTTGTGGCCTATCTAGCACTATTGTCTGTGTGCAACCTTGACATTCTGTACATCTAGTTTTCACTAAATCTGCCCCTGCTCTGTGTGATCTGAATTACAAATTGATTTTTCTTCACAGCAGTTCAGATGATGCTCAGTCCATTTCCATTTGGATTTATGAAGGGACGTGTAACAATCAGCCAGCTAATGGTGACTTGTTATCATTCACCCCTGTTTGTATCATTTATAATTGTGTGTGGACTCCAGGTTGCTTACATAGATAACATACCTGGGGCAACAACAGATGAGCTACAAGCTAGGCAATTGAAAAATGTTAATTTGTCTGCATGTAACACGCTGCTACTAGATATTTCCACAGATTTCTCATTTCCTCCCTCGCATGCATAAGTGGTACTTGTGACAATGAGCATTGTCAACATCGAATCTAGTGAAGTGTGTATGTGCTGCAGAGTGTGAGACAGTTTCATCCACTCCTCACACACACTATCTCCTCTTCTAACGTTTAAGTAGCAATAATATAGATGAAATGTGTTTTCCTAAATCCTCCAGTATTGAAAACAGAACCAATAACATCGGGGTGAATTGATTCAATGGTCTTGAACAATTTAACCCGGGTATTGAAACCAGTAATAGATGCATAAGAAGTAAGTCAAAGTCATTTTTTATGTCACTTGATAACATCAGAATCATTCCTAAAACTTTGCAGTTGTACAAATACTTTTACACTGATTATACATGTAGGGCATATAATTTTAAATATTGTGTCAATCATGTTAAACCAAGGAAACCAACGGACACAGATCAGTTTCTCCCTTTATGGACCAACAAAGTTTTCTGATTGATTGATGGATCTATTGATTGCTAGAAATGATCCGTGTCACGGTGAACGAGCAGAGAACAAAGCGTAGGATTCAGCGAGAGGAGCGTGATGAGAGGTGTTTAATGAAAAGAAGTCGTCAGCTCGTGATGAAGGATGGGGCGTGACCAGTTATTCAGACTTGAGCTGACAAGTGATTGGCACCGTAAGAGTGAAAGAAAGTTAGAAAAACAAAAGCACTTGAGCTATTGGTGCTGACGGATGTTGGAGGGTGGTTGAGAATACTTAGCTTTATAGTTGCCATAGAGGAGGCTGGGGGGTAGAGTTTAAGAGAAATGTGATGCTTTTGGGGG